AGCTGAATCTGATAATTCGAGCTCACTTGGAAAATGTGAGTTTCCATGGGTAATTAGCAGCAGATTGGAGCTCACCTACCATCGATGACTGGTCTCGGAATGGGATTTCCTCCCGATAGTCAAGAAAATGATGCAGACGGCACAAATAAGTAAGCCAGGTACTGTTGTTTGCAAAAAGACATGACTGAAGAGTTATTTCAGTTCGAAGACCAGTCATCACCAGTATGCTAGTCATAGTATCGCTGTTAGCTATCAGTCAGCCATGACTATCCATACCCCATTTTTTCGAAGTTGAGTCAGAAGCTCAGATTTTGCTAAGGTGACGTCCCTAGGGGTTATTTGACCCCCTGAACACGAATATGATACCTGTTTTGCGCGAAGAGCGCTGTGAGTCGCGCTACATGTGCCAACGCTTCGGCGCCAGCGCGCCCGTAAGAAGAAAAACAGTAAAGAAACCTCCATAACTCCGCTCAGAGAATCGTTCTGCAAATTTTGAAGACAGTTCTGAGTTCACCGTGTCAAGATGAGTACAGTGATGTGCATCTCATTGCAAATGGCCAGGCTGACCTGTTGACCTTTCCTGGTTAGGAACACAGCAGAAAATCACATCTGAGACTTTCTGAAGGGAGTAAGTTCCTATTCCAGGGCAGAATACATAAATACTGGTGAAAAGCATTGAGAAAAAAAATGAAAACAACGACTGACTGGTATCATCAAGTAAAATACATAACTAGCATGATGTTTTGCAAACCCACTGTCATCAGCCCTCAGTCTCTTTCACATTGGGGTTGATAAAAGGTACCTAATGAGTTAAAGCAAAGCCTAGTAAGAACCAAGCCAGAATCGAACAAGAATACAAATTGTTGTGACTGCAGCATCCCGTCGATAGGTAACACCCAGAACGTCTGAAACCGATTTTAGATAAGCGGCCACTGTCTTTATATGCTCAGAGGTGACATTATATTCAAGAACTGACTGTCAAAAGAAAATAATTAGAATCCTCTAACTGTCAAGTCGTATGAACGATTAACGCAGAAGAAGGGAGGGGAGGGGGCGACGGTTAGACTCCACGGAGGTCAGCCTGCCGCAGCTCGCTGGTGCTCTCCGCGATGCTTTCCGTATTATTTTGCATTCGCATATTCATGAGATTCCAACGCTCGCTTTGTGTTCTGGGGATGTATTCTTTCCCTGTTTCTTTCTTTGCTTCTATTATCTTGTAGCCTATGAAGCTATGAAAGAATGGGCCCGATATTCAGCTACTATTATAGTAATAATTAACATAGAAATAATATTTAGAGAACATCTGCAATCTACGAAAATTCTTTTCATGGTGAATCCTTCTTTTGGCCTCAATTGTAAGATATTGTAAGGTTTAAGGATTCTCGGCCAGACGGAAAGTAGGTCCTATTGAAGAAATACAGCAACCCGTCGAATAAGTGCAACTGCCATTCAAAAATACTGTCGTCCCATTGAATATTCTGGTTTGGAAAAATCCCAAGCAGATTCGCGTGATGCCAGAACTATGTGAAGGGACCGGGATCTTAATCGCACGACCATGCTGCTCTCGTAAAATCAGTTGCAATCGCAGCGCGCGCGGAGGCATGGCAGCCGTGACCTCTCGTGGAGTCCTAACCTACACCC